CAATTACAATTACAATTACAAATATTATTATTGATATCTTTGAGCCCCTCCAAATTGGGGTCCTGGCTTTATCCCACCATCGCACACTGGGGACAAAATCGAAACAATGTGTTAAAATTCAATAACTTCGGTGCTCGCTGGAACAAGAGACTAAAAAATAGTCATTCTTATAGAAAAAAGTCTCAAAAATCGATTGGAGTGGGTTTCATCTTGGGGATAGGGTAAGTTGGGGTTCTTCACAGTTTTGCCCTAAAATCTCCTATTTTGCATGATTTGAATGCTTTATCTCAAGATACCGATGATATAGACGAATGATTTCTTGGGCAAAGTTGATCAGGAGGTCAAGGACTGTTGGATGATGGACAGAACAATTCGGAATTCTTCCGCTAGGCAGCGCTAGTGAGCATTCGAAGTGAATATGTCTGCGCTGCTGTATCTCAAGATCCTGACTATTTAGACGGATGATTTCTTCGGCAATGTTGATCAGGAGGTCAAGGACTGTTGAATGATGGACAGAACAATTCGGAATTCCTCCGCTAGGTGGCGCTTGTGAGCATTCGAAGTGAATATGTTTGCGCTGCTGTAACTCAAGATCCTGACTATTTAGACGGATGATTTCTTCGGCAAAGTTGATCAGGGGGTTAAGGATTGTTGGATGATGGACAGAACAATTCGGAATTCCTCCACTAGGTGGCGCTAGTGATTATTGAAAGTGAATATATTTGTGCTGCTGTATTTTAAGATCCTGACTATTTAAACGGATGATTTCTTCGGCAAAGTTGATCCCCCTGTCAACCTCTGCAAAAAAAACTGCTCAAACATGGACTTTGTAAGCGAGTTGGTATCTTTAGAGCGTATTCTGCAGAACGAATCTGACTGGGGACTCGGGTTCCGCCAAATATCCTCTCCTCTTTCAGATGCTAACAACAGGCTTATAAAATGCTCGGAGAGAAGAGAATCATCCTCTTTTAAAAAGCCAGTCTGGTTGTAGTGCGTAAAACCTGTAGCAGAGTCTGGACCAGCCGTGACATGCAATTTACAAGTCAACACTTTCTGGTTTAACTTTGAAATCCTGTCTACTACATCATCCAGTTGTAGAATCCGTGTCAAATCGCATATAACCATACCACGGATTGAAACGCTTGATGATAAGTATCCTTTTTCTCGGTTTGTAGTTGAGAACGGTGGAATTATGGCGTTTCTAAATTCAGCTACTTTGTTCCACGGCTGCAAAGTTGCAATACCTAAATGGGACAATTTGAAGGGACTAATAACAATGCACATCTCTAAAATTGATCAAAGATTTAGAAACTTGACCTATTTTAAACATAAAATTGTTCTACTAAGTTTTTTTTTATATATACGTTAATTAAACTGTCATACCTAGATGCTTCTTAGTTAATCGAGCCAGCTCTTTTACTTAACCCAAGTTTTGATTTTATCGCCAAAGATGACTCTTCCGAACACAGAGATGTTCCACGAACAGAGTCAACTGATTCGATGGTCTCTTTTGCCCAAACCTCACCGCCGCTCAACAAGTGCTGTAAGATTTGAGCAGTTGCTGGATTTGCAGCCTTTATTGCAGCAATTTTGGCTGAATACAGCAAGTTATCAAGACCTTGTTCTTTGAAAAGTCCGATACTGCGGCTGTATTTCGAAAATCTTGTCATCTGGCTAAACTCCTTGCGCTTTTCGAAAGCCTGGATTCTGAGGGTTGGTCTTCGACATGATAAAATAATTGATGATGAATTATATTCAAGCATTTTTTCGTAAAATTTAGAGTCGGTAGTTTTTGTTTGGGATTTTTATAAAATATTCATACAAATATCAAAGACAAATCTTCTTCTAATCGCGGTTGATGCTATTGATTATTTAGTAACATGAACAAAAACAGATTTCATCAGTAGTATGTCTTGCTTTACATTAACGCATTTCCACGCTTTTACTAATTTTCATTCAAGTTCAATTTAAATTGGTTTGGAATCCGTTGTTTTTTGAAAATTTAGCACTTCGCTCACCAGGTAAATTGTTTTTCCGAACTGTTAGTTTTTTTAATGTTCGACGGTATCATATTAAAAACGTTTCTTCGTTAATTTATGCTGCTTTCTAAAATTAAGCACGCCCAGGGATTTTTACCTCGAATATGCTTTCAAGCCACTCTGCATTCTTCTTAAAGAACCGATCATTCTTCTTTAAGAACCGAAGTGACGTAACCATACATTTTCGGAGAAAAAGTAATATGTTTTCACTGTTTCTACGGATAAGTGACGTCCACCATATAAGAATGTTGAAAATTCAAAAGAAGTTTTAAACAGTGAGGTTCATATTTTCCGCTTAATTTTGACATTTTTTAACAGAATGAAATTTTTTTTGGCAAATTTTTATAATTATTGCAAGTTTATGCACCCAGGTCCATGATTATAATGCACATCATTTTCGTTGTAATTGATGGTGTAAGAGATGTTATAGGTTCTCCAAGTTGCTTTGGAGTTCAGATTATTTGATCTACTGGCTCAACCATGAATTGCACGATGTCCTCAGCGACAAAACCTACAAAGACATGTTCATAAAGTTTTTTATTTATTTTGATTTATAACCAAGGTTCTCCAAATTGTCTTGAGCTCAGATCAATTGATTTACCTGATCAACCATAACTGATACAAGGTCCTTAGCAACTAAACATTTCCAAACAACATCAATTTAAGGTTTATTAGAAGTTCTAGGTTCTTCAAATTGTTCTAGAGGTCAGATTATTTGATCTACTGGATCAACTAAAATCTGCACGATGATCCCACCGACAAAACTTTTCGAAACACGTCTATACAGTTTATAGTTGATTTTGAGGTATATAAGATACTCACGGTTCTCCAAATTGTCCTTGAGTTCAGATCAAATTCTCATCCAGGTTCACTGATTCAAAGCCCTTTGTATTAAAACATCTCCAAACAGGGTTAAACATATCATGCCCATTATTTACGTTTGAATTTGATATGTTTAAGACGTTCTAGGTTCACCAAATTGTACTAAAAACTTGTTAATAAGGCTACCATCTCGCATTTTAGTTGGATTACATTCATAGATCAGGGGGCCTCCATAAGCTCAGTGGGTAGAGCCTGCGACTATAAAGCAAACCATGCTGGAGGTGGCTGGGTTCGAATCCCGGTTGGTCTAGGATTTCAGATTGGAAAATGTCTCGACTTCCCTGGGCATAGTATATTATTGTACTTGCCACACAATATACACATGTAAAAATCGAACAGGCTTGGAAAGCTTTCAATTAACAACTGTGGAAGTGCATCTAGAGCACTAAGTTGAGAGCAGGCGTTAAGTTACAGTTGGGACGTAATAGCCAGAGAAGATCATAGATAGCACTAACTAGCGGAGGAATTCCGAATTGTTCAGTCCATCATCCAACAGTCCTTGACCCCCTGATCAACTTTGTCGAAGAAATCATCCGTCTAAATAGTCAGGATCTTGAGATACAGCAACGCAAACATATTCACTTCGAATGCTCACTAGCGCCACCTAGCGGAAGAATTCCGAATTGTTCCGACCATCATCCAACAATCCTTAACCCCCTGATCAACTTTGCCGAAGAAATCATTCGTCTAAATAGTCAGGATCTTGAGATACAGCAGCGCAGACATATTCACTTCGAATGCTCACTAGCGCCGCCTAGCGGAAGAATTCTGAATTTTTCTGTCCATCATCCAACAGTCCTTGACCTCCTGATCAACTTTGCCCAAGAAATCATCCGTCTATATCATCGGTATCTTGAGATACAGCATTCAAATCATGCAAAATAGGAGATTTTAGGGCAAAACTGTGAAAAACCCCAACTTACCCTATCGTGCCCAAGATGAAACCGACTCCAATCGATTTTTGAGACTTTTTTCTATAAGAATGACTATTTTTTAGTCTCTTGTTCCAGCGAGCACCGAAGTTATTGAATTTTAACACATTGTTTCGATTTTGTCCCCAGTGTGATCGCCCTACCGTTAATACGGCACTGGACCCAATTACAGGCTGCTGTGATAAATGATTTGTATTGACTGATTAACTTTTAATACATTATCTAGTTATATTTATTTTGTGAAACGTTCATTTGAAAATGCTGTGATTGTAATGTTTATGTATAGATAATATCTACCTATATCATGGATTTTTATGCCTTTTGAGTCGGGTTTATTTCTTAATTGCCAACTCAAAGAGGCTTTTTCTCATCATATTTCATTCTTACTTAGTCAGATGGAAATAATTTATAAACATGTAAAAAGATCAAAAGAGCATACTTTCCATTCCATTAAGAGGGTTAAATTTCAATAAGTCTTTAATGGGAATGACCCTGATGAAGACTGCAGATTGGAATCAAATGGAAAAATAATAATCTTTTTTACTCTTGTAAGCATTACACGAACTACCTAATATTATCGTTTGGCAAAACAAAAAAATGGACCAAAGCTTCGCATTGTCACATCGAGCATGAGAATCGTAAACAAAGTAAGGTGGTAGGGCAGCAATCAAGCATTAAGATCAACGCAGTTATTGCGTAGCGACGAATGTAATCTCGCAACAATTCCAGCATTTAAAAATAAAAACAACTACTCTGATTGCGTTAACTAGGTAAACTGGTTCCCTTTTGCGTTTCCAAAAATAGTTGCCACTCAATTTCGTCACCTTTAGAATGGCTTCCAATTATCGTCATCTTCTGATTGAAGGAGGAAGTGTTGGGATCAAGGTTGATGTTGAAGTGGCCCGGAATAAACACGAAAAACAGAAGAACAAAACCATACCATTTTTTTCTGAGGGAAGTAGTTACCTGTGGAATAACATCGCATGATAAGTAGTGCACTGTTTACTTTGAAATAAGGAAACTGATAAGCATCAACACGGTTCCATTCCAGCAGCAAATCGAGTTCGGTTTCTTCACACCCTTCGACGACCATGAATTTCATAACAAAGCAACCGCTTGCAGCACAGCATAACAAAAAACAAACATCTCAGTAGGCTAAAAGCTATACTTTTATTGACGGTTTTTCAAAAATAGTTTCTTATAAAAGTTAAATACTTGTATACAGCACAGTTTGATGTATTATCTTATTGTCTGCTCCTTAGCAACAGCTGCTCGTATACCTACTCGACTACTAATAGGCATTAAAATACGTCAGTTATAATTGACTAAATAGTACTCTATGTTCCTGCCTAGCAGCTAGTTTCACTACACATAAAAAAATAAACCCCATCTGTTAGCGATCCTGCCATTTTAGAAGATTTTGCTCGAGATTTTACTATAGACCTAATTAAGCTGAGCCGAATGGGAAAAGTAATCAAATTTATGAAATTTGTATTACACGCTGCAATGTGACTTTTACCATTAAATGAATAACAACACAAAAAAAATGGGCGCGTCATCTTCCCCTTTGCGCATAAAACGATCGCGACACACAAACAATATTCGTAGCTGGGAAGGCATTTCTTACTGCCAATGAACGAACAAAACATAATAATCTAAACGAATGAGAACCACTCGAGCACACAGTGTAGCACATGTTTTCCGTGATACACCTTTCCTCCCGTCGAGATATCTAAGGCTACTAATTATAGACTAGAAGATTGGCGTTTTTATTTTATTTTACTTTCACGAAAGCGGACATAATGGAAAATGAACTAGGTATACTAATATGGGGGTAGAAACATTTCTAATAGGAGGATAATGTACTGATTGGTTCAGGTTGTTACGGCCATAATCGTTAGTGAAGGCATGTTAAAAATTATTACCCATGCTTTTCTGGTCGTAAAATCAATTCTTGTGTGAAAAGGCCTTTAAAATTAATTTCTTTAATGTGAATAATTGCAATAGCAGCGGTAACATCTACTACACTGTATGTATGGTTTAGCATTGAGCAGAAGGCACTGCCCTCCATCTCCTCTGCAGGAGTGGCTCGGTGTAGAATATCGGCGCGGAGGTGGTTCAGTTCGAAAACAGAAACAGATCACAAAAATCCCAACTGGAAGCACTCGATTTTGTTTTCTCCATTCGCTTAATATATATCTTCTTCTGGCATTTCATGAAAAGCGGCCCGTGATATGCACGCATTCGATCTCCGTCGTCCAGCGATCGAGTTACTTTCACTTAGATCGTCTTTTTTTTCCATTTCTTTTCATCATCATCATAGCAGGCGACCAAAGCACCGCTTCTCAGTAGGCACTGGATATTTTTTTTTATTTCGGTGAAACTGGTTCAACCTAAAATGGTGTTGTTTACCAAGTTCCAGTTTCCCTTGAATCGCATCCAGCTACGCCACTATTTACCTCACTATTCATACATATACTCGCTAAGCCTACAAAAAATCTACACAACTACAACTCGTGATGTTATTGTCTAAAATTTACACAGGCTTTTTCCCACACGCGTTGAACTTGCTTCTAGATCGAATCAAAGATCTCCACTTCAGTATTTCACTTGTCCTTCTTGACGGTGCATTTCAGATCCTTTCTGGTTTTGAAGCCGCGGAAGCTGGCCTGGATCTTGGTAGCTGCATCGGTTGCCGTCTTCTGTCGCTTACGTACCAGGAATCCGCGTACACCTGCCTGGATCTTGGTTGCCGAATTTTCCTCCAAAGTCGGCTTCTTGGCCACCCTAGGTGACCGTTGCTGACCTGTTGATGAACCAGCTCCAGAGGCACTGCTGCTCCCTGCTGAGCCACCACTGCGGCCCTGGCGCATCTGCTTTCGTACCCGATAGCCACGGAATCCGGCCTGGATCTTGGTGGCGGCATCGTCCTCCGATTGGGAGGAATTGGGCGAACTCGGATGGATATGCATCTCGTTCACTACCGGTTTCAGACTGTCTACGAAGGAGTCCAACGCGGTACGTTGATCGTCTTTCAACGTGATGGTTTCGGTTTCAGGATGGACAGCGGGATCCAGGAAATAAGGCTCTTTCGCGCGCGTTCGATATGTTTTGGTTGTTACGTGGGACGGGTTTCGCACGTTTCCGTTCTTCTTCCGTACGCTTCAGAAGTTGACTGGGAACTGAAAACTGAATGCTTAGGCGCTTGCCGTAAGCTGGCGGAGCTCTAAACACTGATGATCGAATCGAATGCGCCTTGCGAGAGAAAGAGCGGCACCGTTTCGTTCTCTTTGCTCACATGAAAATTCATCACAGATGCACACAGATGAACAGTTGGGCAATTTACATTCCTACTGCTGGTTGTAATTTGATGACAAATTAGTGTACCTTTTATTTGATTAGAGTTCTTGGATTGCAATTGTTTATTTTCCCGGAATTGAAGAAATTTCGTGCATCCCCTGAAATGAAAAGTTTTAAGTATTTTTTCTTCTTTCAAACATTAGCAGTTCTTTTGAGTTTTACTGGTTTTGTCTTTCAGCAACATATTGTGGGAGCAATTTCAAAAAACCAAAATCGACCGCGTTACGACTTACGAGAAGTAGTCAGGTTTTGATCACTTAAAACTCTGTCAATGGCGGATGGATTAATTTCTAAATAAGCAAATCGATTTGAAATTTTTCTACGAATCTGCTAAAATGAACGCTTTATCAATTTTCAATCAAAATTATCACCGATTGCCCGATGTCGGATGTCAGTTCCCATAAGTTTAAATCTAACAAACCATGTTTAAGGCAACATCGCTTGTTTGTAGCTTGTTTCGAGTAATTCAGAATCGGGTTTTCAGCTTATGGAAAATAGTGAATCTTATGTAAAACAATTCCTAGGAACGCCAACGGCGCTAACCCCTTTCCGGAAAAATGGCAGATATTCAAAAACCATGCTACCTCATGTAAAAAAGTCCAAGGAATCCCCTTTAATCCCCATAGATCGAGAAGTGGCCCATTTCGCCCGTTTTCCCCTATAAGTTGAAATATTTGAAGATATTGATCTATAACAGATCTAGGGCCTCATAGCCTAGTCAGTAAAGGCACGGTATTACCAAGTCGGAGGCGGCGGGTTCGATTCCCGGTCCGGTCGAGGGAATCTTTCGGGTTGGAAATTTTCTCTACTTCCCTGGACATAGAGTATCATTGTGCTTGCCACACAATATACAAATTCATGCCCACAGGCATCACTTTTTGTATATGATCGTTGTAAAAGAAGCACTCGTGAAAAATACGATCTAGCAGTGAAACAAACCGTGAACATTTTGATTAAATTTTATAATCGCGTATCTAGATGGTACATAGGCGAAAATCAAGTTGAGCGTCGTGAGATGTACAAACATTCCATCACGTCACATTGGGGAACTTCTTAGATGTCAAGAGACATTCATTTTATTTCAGAGAACTTCATAGAAGTTCGTGGAACTTCGTAAAACTTCAGGGACCATCATAGATCTTCAGGATACTTCGTAAAATGTTAAACAACTTCGTGGACGATGATTACGGAACATCGCATTAATTATTTAAAATTCGTACAAGTTCAGCAAGCTGGGCAAAAATTCAGTTGTACCTATCGAAAAATTAAAAGATGTAAGCTATGGAAAAATCTTTGAAGTACTGGGAACTTCGAAGAAGTTGACGGAAAATCTAAGGAATTCAGGGAACTTTATATAGGCTTTGAGTTCATGGAACTGAGTTTAAGCTCAAGAAACTTCTTGAAAGTACAGGAATCTTCGTATAAATGATATGCACGGATTTGCGATGATATCTCTGGATATTATTTAAGACTTTCCAACTTAATCAAGTAATGTTCTGAAGATCTGCATGTGTTCAAAAATTCAAAGGACGTCTTTTAGACATCCTTCCGAGACGGAAGTTTGATTAGAGAGTATTTAAAGGATATACAACTGGTCGGAGATTTAAAGACCTCTGAATATTTTTCAAGACTTGATCAATTATTATTCGTAAGATATTCAACTGTTCATTAAATTCAAATAACGTCTCTAGATAGCCTCTCAAGATTGCTGGTTGGTCAGGCATTAGTGAATTTAGGTTGATCAGGACATCTGAAGATCTTAAATTGGTCAAACATTCAATTGGCTCTCTCAAGATGGCAGATCGGTTAGGAAGTATCTCCAGCTGATCAAAGATCACAATAAAGTCCTCTGGATATTTTTCAAGGCTTCAGGTTGATCAAGTATTATTATTAAGATATTCTCCCAAAACTGTACGTTGATCAGGAAGTATTCAAAAGATCTTCAGGTAATCGAATATTTCAGTGAAGTCCTGTGAATATTGAATTGGATCAAGTTTTATTCTGAAATATCCGATTTTGGTTACATTATTCATATTCAACATATTCAGGAAGAAGCTTTAAATATTAAGTCAAAAACTTCATTTATTCAACAAAATTTATTCAGCCTAAAATTAAAAAAAAAATCCATCGGAAGTCTGCTTCAGCTTCCGCATGCCTTGAAACAACTTAATAATACCATCACAGAATTTTAAATGTCTTCAAAATGAAGATATGTCTTTAAATCTGGTGTCCCTAGTATTGAAGAAATCTTCTTTTTTTAATCATTCTTCGAAGGAGATGAAACATACATTTCAGAACATCGTTAAAAGAAATTAGAAACATACGAATATTAAAACAATTTACTATCTTTATTCACTTCCCGGGATGCCGAGATTTCCCGGGATATCAAATAAATATTTGCAGAATCCCGGGATGGTGGAAACCACCGGGAAATGGAAGCTCTAATCGCACCCATTCAACACACATGGGTCAGGACCAACGGCTTTACTTCGCTTCCGAAGGAAGACGTGACCAGAGATTTCTATGCCTCAGAAAAATTCCACCGACCTCGGCTGGGATTGAACCCAGACCCATTGGGGTGAGAAAGCAGTCACGTAGACTCGCACATCTTGATCAGTGTGTTTCGGTCTGACCAAGTAAATGAGAGGTGCATCATATCTATCAAGTTGTTCTCTGGTGACGTTTTCCGAGAAAGATGGACATATTTGGACCGTTTATGACACCTCTCATCTGCAAAACTTAGAGGATATGGCTGAAATCTTCCGATGTATTTTGATAGGTGTGAATATTTATGCATTGATGGTGGTATTTTCTTATTGAGGAATGGAAAATGGTGTTTAAGCTGCGCATACAATTGTCTGATTTTTTCGGCGTCAAGATGTTTGGATGACAATCATCCTTATCATTCTGAGGTTTTCTACCAATTCGTGGCTGATTCCCAAAATTACCGAGAAGTTCTTTGGGCCAGCGAGGAGTCTTCGATACGTGTTTCCATTATTGGATAAGCCGCTTCCTCCGATTTTCGGTTTCAAAGTGGCCCTCGAGCTGTCTGGTAATCTCCTTTCAACGTCTAGTGGCTCTTCCGCGCAATGGTCAACCTCTGCTTGCTCATAGACTTAGGTCGGCAAAATTTATTCGATTGTGGGTTGAGATTTGTCCACAGTTCCCCCGATTTGGTCTCCAAAATTAGCGGGAGCACGCATTCGGTGAGCAGCGAATTATCCTTCGTCTCTGGTTGTACTGGCTGAAACCAGCGGACAGTAACAAAACGCAATCCAGGTTACCATCCATCATGGTCGCAGCCTCCTGAACTTCCTCATGGCTCAAAAATCTCTCGATAATACTTACGACCATGTGTCTTAGAGTTACCCTACAGGTCAAAACTCCGTTCTCCTAAACTGGAGGATCATACGGCGGAATGATGGCATCCCGATTCTGCATCGCCGCCTCCCACGGAACTAAGCAGCTCCCACCGTAAATGAATTTGCTATACTTTCTGATATCGGCGTACTTTTTGCGTGTCAGGCCCAATCGAGTATCGACCAGTGCTGCAAAATCTCGACAATACACAGCGATATTCAAAATTCTGCTTTGTCACTCATTTGAGCTAACAGTCATCGTCAAGACAAACCATGTCAATTGTCAGTGACAATACTGTCAATGACAAACATATGCAGATTTGTTTATAAGCTAAATTTGAAACGAAATTAAATAACTTGAGCAAAACAATTATATGGAGCCTTTAAAGCATCTACGTCCTGAACTGCTTAGATAATGTGACTTAGAATGTACGAAATTACACTTTCTGTTACCAAGTGATTCTTTGTCATTGACGAATAAATGAATGAGATTTTGATAAAGGTTTTTTTGAGGACTTGATATCAGTGACTATGTGAAATTTTTATTGTCAATATTGCGCAAAAGTCTGTCAATGACATTGACAAATCTCAGCACTGGGTATGACACGAAGCGACTTCTCTGCTGTTGGTTTGACAAGCTTCTCTTGTCTTGCCTCCTTCAAAGCTTTGCATGCCCATTCCTCACCGTGCATCCTCAGCTTTCGAAGCACTTTTGCCTGTACTAGGATACAAGCTGTGCAATGCAGTGTGCATGCTATGGCTACATAGTTGTTCAGTTGCCCACAGCAGCTTCTCCATACGCTCTGTATCGGCTAAAGCTTTGCTTCAAACTTTCAGAAAGATCTTCAAAGCATTTATTTTTCGACCACAAAAGTAAGAACGTGCATGTCATTCTTGAAAATTATACACTTAACGCAACAAACATTTAACAGGTAAAGCTATTCTACTAGAAAACTCTACCTACGTAGTCAACAAGCATAGAATAGGAAAAAGAAATTTTAAATTCAATGAAAATAATAGAAAGTAGTTATCTTATCATGAACGTTTCATCGAGCTAGCTCCGGTATTTCTCATAAAACTGTTGTTTCCCATGCTACAATTTCCAGCGGAACCGGAAGTTTCGAATCCACGTTGTAACAGCAAGCAACAGATCTTTCCGATTGTTCACAACTTCTGCGATAAGCTCCTGAATTAAAAACTCGCGATCTTGCTTTAAACGGAGATAGAGTTCCACACTTGAGCAATCAAACTCAGGAAACTGTGCAACATCAAACAAAGTTTCGATTTTTTGACACATCATTCTTCTTTTTCTCCTTTTTCACGAGCGAGCGTCTTATTCACCTTGACGACAGTAATGTGCTAACATCTGGAAAAGTTGGGAAAGTTCCGTGCGTTTTGTGCACGAAAATGCGTAGTTTTGACATCAGAAAACGAGGCGGTTCCGTGATGGGAAAAGTGGTTTCCCTAATACAGTCGCCAAATATTG